TACTCTAGACAGTAATCAATGACTCCAACTTTCACAGACGTGGAGAGAAATGAATTTAATTATTTTCTTCTGAATCTCTCCCAAGTTTAACAATCCTCATTGACAGAAAATTGCCCCTTATTGTCCTTTATCAAGCTCCTTATAGCAAGTCAAAGCGTTTCCTATCATTGGACAGGTAAAATGAGAGGGATATTTTATGGATCTCATAGTGTGAGCACCAGCACTCTCTGCCAAGCACACTGTTAAGGCGCACTACTCTCCTTAGTTCACTGAAGGATCCCAGGAAAGTCACAGTATAGGCAAGGATGTTGGTTTTTTGTTTTGTTATCTTGTGGTTGCTGCTTATAAGTTTTAAACATTATCAAAAGTTAAAGCTAGTCGTGTCAGAGAAATTTCAGAGAATACATTTATGATGCCAAGATATGTGTCAGAGCCTGTCTTAGAGATGAGACTTGTCTACAAGGAAATTGAATAAAATTAAATAGTTCTCTCAACTTGTTTTAAAAATGCAGATAACTGGCCCTGCAGAGAATAACAGAACAATGGGCATTAGGTTAGCATAAACCTCATAGATTATATGCTGTAACGGATCTATATTTTAAATATAGTTTTATAGTCCCACTAAGAAAAACAATGAGAGTCAAAGCTCAGGTAGAGACAAGTGCAAGAGAGGCAGCCCAAACAGGATGGAATACCTGTCCTACACTCTCACTTCTAGTGTTGCTTAAAGCAGGGAATATTAGTAAAATTCAAGAATGTGATAGGAATATCTAAGTTTCAAAAATAAATAAATTCTTCCTATAAAATATATTCCTTTGACCTCAATTTTCTCCCCAGGGACCAACAAATTCATGGAATTCTAGAGCTGAAATTATATAATGCACCAGGCATCTAGACATCATACAAATCATTGCTGATCTTTGTAAGAAGCCAGAAAGTAAGTGAAGGTAAGTCCATTTTGTAGATTAGGAAACTGCAGCTAGCCAGTTTAAGATATTTTATCATGTTCATAAGTTTACTAAGGAATAAAAAGGGGATCTGAACTTTTGTCTGAAGGCTTCAAATCCCTTGTTATGTTTGCTCTGCCATGCAGCCCTCGTTGGTCTCTACAAGACCGTGTGTGTGTGTGTGTGTGTGTGTGTGTGTGTGTGTGTGTGTGTGTGACAGAGTCAGAGAGAGAGAGAGAAAGTTGTCCATCTCAGTTTTAGATAGGCTTCCTTACTGGTGAGGTCTCTCTTAATGTTTAGATGACATCCAACTCCCTTTACCAAGTGATTCTATTTATGACAAACAGTGTTACAATATCTTTAAACATAAAATGTATTAACTGGGATCTTAACTTGCTATATAATGCATTACAAGACAAACTTTTTTAACTAAAAAAAGTTAAATAGGTAAAACATTCACCAAGTACAAAATTCAAAAGCTATGAAAAGGCATGTAGTGAAGATTCTCTTTCCCACACTCTTTTGTACCCTAGTCAGCCAATGTCTCTTTGGTGGAATGAACTAATGTTTAATCTTCTAGATATATGTATGTATATGCAATATATGTATTTCTCCTTTTCTTACTGAAATAATAACATAATATGCATTCTATACATACTGATTTGCAACCTCATGTCTTCATTTAGCAACATATCTTAGAAACGATTCCCTATCATTACATAAGGAGCTTTCTCATTTAAAAAAAAAATCAGCTTTACAGCATTTCACTGTATGGATAGTCCATAATTTACCTAGTCTCCTACCACTGGGAATTTAGATTATTTCAGTCTTTTGCTATTACAAATAATGAGGCCATGAGTAATTTCAGAAATGCATCATTTCACAGGTGTGCAATTATCTCTGCAGGATAAATTCCTAGAAATTAAACTGCAAAGTCAAAAGACACAAGTACTTGTAATTTTAATAAATACTGCCAAACTGCCCTCCATAGAGGTTATATCATTAAAAACCCTAGGAAGAGACTTGGAAAGAAACATAAGAGATCTACACAAGTAAAACTGAAATGCTGCTGAGAATATACACACAAAAAGACTAGGACTGTTCATCTCCTATGTAGCATTTTTTCCTGAAATAAGGGCAGATAAACATGTTAAACAACACCATGGGGGTACAATCAGCACAATCCAGATGGTGGGAAACTCCACAGGACAACTGATTCAGTTTCAACAAATAAAATGTAGAAATAAAAGGCAATGAGAGTCAGGAAGGCAGGGAGACAGATGGCTTAAAAGAGATGAGAGACATACCAACAAAGTGAAATGCCTGTACTTTATTTGGATGCTGGTTGAAACAAACAAACTGTAAAAATCATTTATGTTATTATAAGGCAATTGGGGGGTGCAGAATAAATAGAAATTTTTACTTTATTCTTAGGTAGGAATATTCAATATCATAAAGATGCCAGTTCTTCCTATATTATTCTAAACATTTAATGCAATTTCAGTAAAAATAGCAACTTTAAAAATTATACAAGCTATTTTAAAATTCATGTAGAAAAAATAAGAAATGGAATAGTAAGGAAAATTCTGGAAAAGGACAGTGATGAGGTACTAAAATGCATTAAAAAGCTATAATAATTAGAATAAGGTGGTGGAAAATGTAATTTGGTATATGGTAAAATTTGGCATGTAAAATCAATGGAGTAAGAGACATTATTCAGTTCCTATAAAGAGGATAATTACTTTGTACGTTAAATCAAAATAAATTCCAGATGGATCAAACTTTACACCTTAAAATAAAACTTTAAAATTCCCAGGAGAAATCATAAGAATTTAAAAACATACATTTATAAGTGTGTGTGTGTCCTATATACAAGTTATGTGTATATATTCATGCATATGTAATATACATATATGTATATTATATACATATATGTATATGCATTATTAATATAATTTTATATGTGTATTATATACACATACACATATAGTGTTGAAACAGAGAAAGCATAAGTATGACAAAACATAGGAACTGTTAAAGAAAGGATTAATAGATATTATACGCAAAATTTAAAAATCTACACAGCAACCATCGTATGAGTGAAGTCAAAAGACAAATGAAAAACTGAAAAATCTTAAATTACAGACAGGAGGATAATTTTCCCTTCTCTATATTAAACCTCTATAAATAAATAAAGCCAACAAAAGCATTAGAGAAAAATAGCAAAGGTTATGAATAGATAATTCCCCAAACAAGATTTTATAAAAAATTTTTTTTTTTTTATCCTCACCCGAGGACATTTTTTGATATTTTGTTCAGATAGAGTGGGAGGGAGAGAGAGAGAGAAACATTGATGTGAAAGGGACACATCGAGTGGTCGCCACCCACACGACCCCACCAGGGCCGGGGACAAACTGCAACCGAGGTACGTGCCCTTAGCAGGAACTGAACCCGGGTCTCTCTGGACCGCAGGCCGATGCTCTAACCGCTGAGCCAAACCGGCCCGGGCCCAAACAAGATTTTAAATAGCTCTTGAACACATAAAAATATGGTCAAACTTTTAATAATTATTAATTACAGTAAAATTACACCAAGGTACTACTAGTCAGTTATCAGACTGATAAAAGTAATATTAAGGTCTAAACTGTATTATTATTAGAGAATGACCTTAAGTCAATTTGACTTGTGGGAAAAAAGTGGATGTGGGCCAAAAAGCTGTACTTTAGAAATGGTAGAATGTGCCTACAATTCCTAGGATTGGTGCTAAGTTCTATCTTACTTATGCAGAAGTCACAATATTAGATGACTTCTCTTACCCCGCATGCAACTGAAAAATGAGAATAAGCAAAAATATTAAAGGTGTTTTAAAATCAAAATAAAAAATCCATAAAGATACACATTTTGTATTGAAGCCTGTACACTTAACTCAGAGGGGCAAGCCATGGTCCCTACTCCAGACTGTTTTATTCCATGCGTAATCCTAACATACATGCTTGTTTTGTTTTCCCATTTTTAGCAACTAAAAGATAAAACATTTTTGAAAAAGGCATTCATAGAGACAGGTACACTGACTTTAGGAAGAAGCCACAGATATGTTGGTCTTACAGCAGATGAAAACTATGCATATCTGGCATAAGACCTTAAGTCTCGGACCACCACCTGCAGGCATTTTCTGTGAGGTTTGGTGCATGAGCACCCGCTGTTAAATATTGAGGATGATGCCCTTTAACCATCTCAAAAATATTAACTTACTCTGGTAGATTCTGGAGGGATGTATGTAACATATGCCATGTAAACCACCATAAATCACCTAGGACAAAATCCTGGAGTATTTACCAGGATACATTTCAGTCGTCTAGAAAATGCAAACACAGAAAAACAAATTCCTCCTTGGACTCAGCTAACTATATTAATGTAGTTTTATCTTTATTGAATTCATTGGGGTGACTTTGGTTAATAAAATTATATAGGTTTCAGGTGTACAATTATAATACATCATCCAGATATTGTATTGTGTGCTCACCACCCCAAGTCAAGTCTCCTTCTGTCACCATTTATCTCCCTTTGACCCTTTTCTACCTCCGGCCACCCCCTTTCCCTCTGCTAATCACCATACTGTGGTCTGTGTCTGAGTCCATTTTTATTTTTTCTGCTTAATCCCATCACTTCCACCCAGCCCTCCAACCCCCCTCCCTTCTGACAGCTTCTGTTCTCTGTATTTATGAGTCTGTTTCTATTTTGTTTGTTATTTTGTTCACTGGATTCTACATATGAGTGAAATCATGGTACTTGTCTTTCTCTGACTGGCTTATTTCACTCAGTATAATACTTTCCGGGGTCACCCATGCTGCCGCAAAAGGTAAGATTCATGTAGTTAAAAGACAAATAATTGTCATTGGTGTGCTTTTGTTTTGGACACACAAGTCAGATTTTCCTGCCTTCATTAAGTCTGAATTGGGTAATCAATAACTTGCCTTTCGATTAGTTATTAAGAAATAATTTAGTGGGCTTATGGCCTTATCGCAAAGCACGTCATATCTCCACATGACTTGCCTTGGCATGATCACGTTAACCGGGTGAAACTGCGCTCGTGTTTGGGCCTGCACAGCCCAGTCATGGCAGCGGCCCGCACCATCTGCCCACGGCTCTGCTGTGTCTGTGGCAGGCAGGCTCTCTGTGGTCCATTCTCTTCTTGGTTGTAGTTCTCTTTGCCTTCCTCACTCTTTCGCCCTGGAAATGGATAGCATTTCAAAAAGTCTTCAAGTGTTTTTTGCAGTCAAGCTGCTAGGCAACAAGAGGTGTGTGTGGGGGGGGTGAGTTATTTTAAGATTGAGAGTCCGGTAGGATTAGATAGTGTGTGTAGCCTCTAAGGATCATTAATATCATTAATGTGAGGCACAAGTCCTAGACTAAATGGCTTCTGGGAGAGCATAATTTGTTTCGGAATGACATGATTTTAAAATGTTTTTATAGCCTATTATTAAAAAGGAAGACAATAAAACGATTTCTCTAAATCAGCACTTTGCAGTGTGCAGACTGGGGACTTCTGCTCCCGAATTTCCTGGGGGCTGGAGAACAGGCAGGGGGAGCCACATCACCAACCTCTCAAATCAGAAATTCCAGGCATGGGCCCCTGTGCCCACATTAGAAGACATTTCAGGCGATGCAATCAAGTGTGACCCTAAGTTGGTAGGATACTAACTAGGATATGTCCTCAGTAGAACAGGTTAAAGCAGGGCCCTGATAGTTGGAAGTGAATGGGGAAGTAGAACTAGTTACAAACCACTTCACACGTTTATGTTTGTTTCTAGGATCGCTGTTTAATATCCCTCCCCTCCCTAGACCACAAGGCCCATAAAGACAGGAAACACACGGTCCCACTCAGGGCTGGCTGGGCCTCACCTGCTGCTTGACCTAGGCTCAACGTTTGCTGAGGGAATGATGTAGGTATGTGGCCTGCACTTATGGATGAGCAAACTGGCCCTCGGAGAGGGTAGATGGCCTAAGACCACACAGTTTACAGTGCGTGGAGGGTCCATCAGGGCTGGATCCACGGTGAGGCCCCTCCCCCAACAGCCTTAACCTTGTCAGAGCCATTTCATCTGTTTGTAGAGGAGCTCTATCTCCATACTGTCTGTTACGCACTCAAATCCTCAAAAAACCCTGTAGTTTATTGAGAAAATGAAATAAGTAATACCGTATTTTAGAATGTGATCAATACCCTGTAAACAATAAATAAAACGACTCACCGAAAGGGGTAAGAGAATGAGGGATGGGAAGAGTACTGCAATTTGAAATAAAAAGATTAGGCAGGCTTCACTGCATAGGTGGTTTTTGAACAAAGGCTTCAAGAAGCAAGTCACTGATAGCTGGGGTCAGAGGCCAGGGGTTATTAGCAAGAGCAAAGGCCTGAGGAAGGGGGGTATCTGGAGTACAAACATCAGCCAGAACCGACACTGCCATAATGAGAGGTTGAGAAGGATGGTGGGTGGAGGCCTGATCAGAGTGAGCTGAGGAAGGGCAGGGAGAGAGGATCTAGAAACTGAGCAAAGAATTCTTGAAGACAAGAGACATCAGGAGTAGCCAAGAGAAGGCAGCAGCCAAGAGGTTTTCTTTGTTTGCTTCAGGCAAGAGAAAGAACAGGATGCTTGTTTCCTAGGGGTGATGCTCCAGGAGAGAGGGGGATGATGGTTCAGGGGAGGAGGGCACTGAGGAGTGGTGTAGGGAAGAGAGGATGAGAACCTGAGCACGGAGGGGCTGGCCTTGGGGAGAAGCAGACAATTCATCCACAGGAAAAGGAGAAAAGGCCAAGTGTAGGGTACAGAAGCTTTTAGTGGGGTCCTCTGGTAGTGGAGCCTGTGGAAACTTTTTGACGGATCCCCCTTTCTCCATGAAATAGGATGCAAGGCCATTAGGTGAGAAGAAGGCTGGGAGCAGGAGCTAGAGAACCTGCCTTAGGAATATTTTTCACTGCATGCTACTCGTACATAAGCACTGTACTTGGTATTTCTGCATAAACATATGGAAATATCTTATGCACATACTCTTGCCAAAGCGGCGTTACTCATCTTTGGTTAGAATTAGCTTGGAAAATAAACTGTACCAGTAATGAATTTTGAAATATAAATTAATACAGATAGAAGGCCTTTCTCCTCTGCTCCCATTTGTATTGCAAATTTATTCCCTCAAAATTATTTCATGTTCTGAATGTCACTGAGAAATTTAGTAGATTGCAGATGTGCACCCCAGAAGTGGGTTTCTGACTGTAATTTAATTGAAAGGGTCATAACTAAGTTTCACCATATGGGGCTGCCAGATGTAATCAATGCAATGGAAATTTGAAGATGACATTATTGAGTATGTCGAAGCACATTTTATAAGCAGTGAGAGCTATCATTGATGCAACAGAAATCATTCTAATGTCTTATAAAATTAGAACATCAGTAGAATATACAAGTATTAGAGGGTTAATATAGAACAAGTAATTTTGGTTGAATGATAACACACTATTTAAAGACATACATAAATGAGATAATAAAGGTATTACTATTCCTCCACCCTACTATATCAATCAAAACTGGAAGGCTAGCATGGCTTAAAGTTTTAATACTGATACAGTTGATAATGCATTTGAAAACTGATACAATTGAGAATTTAATTTTATTTACGGAGAATGTGGGAAAATTTCTCAACCATAAAGTAGAGCTCTATAAAGTTTTTAACCTGGGCCCAATGAATGGTTTACCACACTGAGATTCCCATCACTGAACTTTGGCTTGTTATTTAGAATCTTCAAGTCTCAAAGCTGTTGAAACTCAGTGGCTAGTCTTGCAATGGATAAACTTTATAACAAAACCAGTGATCCCCAAAGCCTATTATTCGAATGTCTGAAGCCAGACTCAGAATAAAAGATCACACCTGAATACACCATCTATGAGGCACTGTTTTCTTTCTATGTAGGTCAGGTTGAAGAGGGCTCTTGTACAGGCAAAATTGTGCACCAGGAGTAGCTGTTGTGCTGATACTAAATCGTGCTCAAATACAGATGTATATATTCCATATGCCACCAAACAATGGCACTCTAAAGTTAGAGATCCAAGACTACCCATCCCACAGAGAATAATCATCTGGTCTTACTCTCCTTGAACTTGGCTACAGTTATTTGTAGTTAATGGTGATGAATGAATCTTAAATGTTAATGCCTTCAAAACCCCGTGGTGTTGCACGGATCCCCATCGCAGGCTAATCTGAGCACGTGTGAACCCAGTGAAGGAAAGGCAAACAGACATTTTGAACTATGTAATCTTTGGCCAGATTAGATATTCAGGAGAGCTGTTATGCTTAAATAATCCACAGAGTTTCAGCAGGGTAAGAGTTATAAAGTAGTCAAGACCACACACACACACACACACACACACACACACACAATTTGGACCCAGGCTACCAGAACTAAGGAATCTCGTGCTGACACCTCATACATGTAAGCTGAGGCAGTATGTCCAATCCAGGGACATAGTGTGAGAGTACTGGAGGCCACACGTATTCTCTGCTCAGTTGCCTTCCACTGTCCTTGTGCCAGAACAGTGTGTGATGCTCAGAGTTCAAAGGCCAGGCAGGCCCACCCTCTCCTGACATTCGTTATCCAGCCACAGCCAGAAGCTGGCCCTTCTCCTGCCAGGATCACTATAACTTTGGTAAAATCCAATTGATGGCACCATACAGAGGAATTGATGAGGCCAACCAGCTGGATCACAGAGATGTACAGGCAGCAAGACTAATTTAAGTTTGCTAGTGAAGCAGAATTTAAGTAGATTCCAAAACAATCCCCAAAGCAAAGTTAATGTGAAGAAATGTAATGTGTACTTTTAAGCAGCAGCCGGTAAGTGGCCTTTCCCGGTAGATGGGCACTGCATGCTTACAGAGTGGTAAAAGGGACCTCAAGAATGCTGGGTGTCAAGGCCAATTCTGTTGTCCTCTTGCCATCTTTAGAGGCTGAGTTACCACCATCACTACTTAGAATTAAATTCCTAACCTCTGTCACCTGGATACTTCTGCTGCTTCTTCAAAATTCACCTCCTTAAAGACCGCCCCCCTCCAAAGTCCCTTCCATTTTTGTATAAATGGTGCTCAGTGTAGTGTCCTGCCTAGAGGATGCTAAATAAATGTTTGTCACATAACAGAAGAAAACAGAGAGAAATAGCTACATTTATGGAATATAAATGAAAACTGGATTAAAAATGGGAAGACTTGAACTTGAGTTCCAACCCCACCACTCACTAAATGATAAATCTTTTACTCTTGCTGAGATTCTCTTACCAAGTCTACAAAATGGGACGAATAATACCTTCTCCAACTTCCTTGTAAAGTAGTTATGAGAATGCAGGGGCCACCGTGGGGAAAGGGGATCTGATGAACACCGGGCTCCAGCACATGCAGCCCGGGCAGATCACCGGCTGGTATCTATTTCCTGTGCCACGTGTGCATTATAAAAACCTCCCTATCTTGTCCGGCCTGTGTGGCTCCGTGGTTGAGCATAGATCCATGCACCAAGGGTCACCAGTTCGATTCCCAGTCAGGACACATGCCTGGGTTGTGGGCCAAATCCCCAGTTGGGGACATGAAGGAGGCGGCCAGTCGATGTTCTCTCTCATCAATGTTTCTCTCTCTTTCTCCCTCTCACTACCTCTCTCTCTAAAATCAATGAAGAAAAAAAAAATTAAAAAAAAAAACAAACCCTCTCTATTTCTTCTTAGGCTTCTTTTATCAAGGACCAATCAAATATCAGAAAGTGTTATGGCCTTTTTATTAATAGAATATTTTAAAGTTTAATTCTGAAATAATTTTAGACTTACAAAGAGGTTGAAAAAAGTACAGAGTTGTTACATCCCCTTTACCTGCTTTTCCCAAGTGTTAACATCTTAATTATAACTGATGTAGAATGACAAAACCAAGAAATTAACATTGGTACAATGCTATTAACTGATCTATAGACCTTATTCAAAATTTCTCAGTTATTCCACTCTATTAAGGGCCCCACAATGCATTTAGTTGCCATGTCTCCTTAGTCTCCTGAAATGTTTAAAAAAGTATCTTGTGGGTGGATACATTATGACTATGCAAATATCTTATTTCTCATTTTACTTTTGGCCACTAATTTTAACATCCCTTGATTATTCTTATCTGCAACAAATCCTGTAGTGTTTGCTAAATGCTGATTTTTCTACTTGTATCATTCTTTCTACATTCATCAGTTGGAATTCTACTGAAAGAAAGAGCCATTTCTTCTCTCTCGTTTATTTATGTATTAAAATCATTTGTTTGTATGAGCATGGATTCATAGGTATTTATTTTATTCTATGAGTTATAGTCCATTGCTCTCATTATTTTATTTCTCATATTTTCCTAGGTTTCCTATGGCCTTTTTAGATGGTTCAACTCACAAAGATCAATGCCTTGCTAAAAATCAATTCACTCCAAGAAATGCCTGTTTGAATATATGGCATATGAGAAAAAAGTAAAATATATAGTTGGAGAAGAAAAAAATGTCTGGGGTAGTCCTGGCTGCTATGGCTCAGCGGTAAGAGCGTCGCCCGCAGACGAAAGAGCCCTGGGTTCAAGTCCGGCCAGGGGCACGTACCTCGGTTGCAGTTTGTCTCCAGCCCTGGTTGGGGTTGTGCCGGTGGTAACCAATCAATATCTCTCTCTCTCTCTCTCTCTCTCTTCTTCCTTCTCTCCCTCCAGCTCCATCTGAAGATTAATGTAAAAATATCCTCGGGTGAGGATTAAAAAAAATGTCTGGGGTATCAAGGGCACAGGACATTGGATCCCGAAACCAGCAGCTCCAAATAAAAACAAAGACCTATGAGGAGATAGAAGTTCAGAGTACTGAATACCCCAGGCATTTATACTCTGCCTGGAGGTTTGGCCATCTGGAAAGAAATGTGATTAGGGATATTTATATTACTGGTTAATCAGAATATGCAGAGGCCAGCGAGAAGTATAATTTCAAGTTCAATAACTATATTTCATGGTGTGTATGTGTGCGTGTGTGCAAGAGAGACAGGAAGAGGGACCATTAGTGTTTAGGCTACTTTAATGAGAGAGAACTTTTGAAAACACATAAAATCAATCTTGAGTATGATTTGTATAACACAAATCCCTGTGCAGCAGACAGATGATCATGTTTGTTCATAAAATCACTTATAATTTCATCACATAGAGTCATACTTTGAATGTTTAATATTCCCTAGCATTATGCAAATACCATGGATATGAGCAACAGTTAAATGCTGTCTTTAGTGAGCTTGCGGTATGGTAGAACTGAGTTCTTTTCAACAGCTGGAGTGTTGCAGGTGGGCTTGGAAAAGTCCCTGGGCTTCATCAGGAACATGGCAAGGTGGTCTCTGATCTTTCCAGCACTCAAGTCGTTTGATACTGTGATCCACTAACTAGATTATTTAAAAATGGCTGTTTGATGTGTCTTTCTCTCAAAATATCCTAATCAGTAATAGACACATTCTTTTCTCTTTAATAAATCTTTTGTAGCTGCTTAAATATTGAATCTCACAGAGCTGATTCTGCAGCTTATTTACATACAGTCACCAACTCTATTTTTCACACAGTGGTTTAGACTCCTGACATAATGAAGAGTCAGCTGACACTCAGAATACATTATTATTATTATTATTATTATTATTATTATTATTACCACCTTATATCTCCTAAGGAAACACAGCACTCCTGAGTGTCTAATACATCCTATGGAGAACTTTATCTTAGGTCTCAGCATTAAGAGATCCTGGATTTGGCCCCATAAGCTCTCTTTGAAATGACCTATAGGAATACATTATTTTAGAAGTCGGTGGCAGACAGTTAGTTGCATATTGTAGTTTAGCTTTTTCTTCTTCTTTTGATTAATGGAAATCAAATAAGTAATCTAAGTAAGTGTAGTGGTGGACTAGAAACTGCTTTCACGCTGTGACGGCCATGTTAATGACAAGGGGAATATGCTTGTACCTACATCTTCTGAAAAGAGAAAGATGCCTTATCTGAGGACTGATGGTCAGATATACTTATTTGAAAGTTTAATTAAGAAAATTGTTTTGATAGTTAATAATACCGGGCTTTAGGTTTATTAAACTAAACGTAAACTATTTCATTAGCACTAGCATCTGAGATTACACAAAAGAAAAGTGAAAACCAGATGAAAAACAAGATATTAAAAAAACCCTTTATGCCATAATATCAAATCCACATTTTATATTTACTACAATTCCAAGTATGAAGAGTCAGTGATATTAGTCTATATTGTACAAGGTTCCAGTAATAACCGAAGGCTGCTTATAGTTACCTCCTTCCTAACCCCTTAATAACAGATCTTTTTACAAGTATAGCTATACCACAAGGGGCTTGTTTGAAGGAGTCTAAGACTATCATGTTATTATTTTTAAACAAGAACTAATTTTCATTTGTACATTGATTTTAAAATATTGAATCTACCAAGTAAATTCTTAATTAGGAATTGCTTCCAAACTATCATCCTGAATTATAGCATCATTAAAATGTACCCCTTTCTCCCTACAGATGAACTTATGTAGATATGGAGTTGTATGTGTGATTCTTATAGTGAGCAATAGGATACAGTAACCTACTAGGAGAGTTGAAAATCTAAATTAATGTTAGGAAAGAAATGGATTTGTTAAATGAATATGCTTTGGAAATACCAGTTCAGACAACAGGATGGCTCACTGAGCTATCTGGGGCTTCAGGGAAGAGTCACCAAAGATGTTTGTAAACAGCAGGGAAGGAAGAAAATAATTCAGGGTGACCAACTGGGTGGTCAGTGCTGATGGGAACTGAGGCAGCAAGCAGCTACTGCGGCTGCAGAGAGGAACAAGGAGAGGAAGCCTGGACTCCACGCTGAGCCTGCGGACCAGCCATGGAAGACAGAAGTTCTGAAGTGGGAGAAAACTAAGGAACTTAGTCAATCAAGCCTGGGAGTTTGCTTTAATTAAACCAATAACGAGGGTATGTCCAATTAACTTCCTTTCTTGAATATAGATAGCTCTACCAGAAGTAGTTTTACTTCTAATGGAGTACTCTGTTAGTGACATTCCCAGTGTGTCCCACATTTGTGTAAATTCAGATTCTGCACTGTGAAGTTCCTTAAGGCCAGGTCATACACCTTAATCTTATTCTACATTGACATTTAAAATGTTCAAATTTAACAGCCTCCATGTAGCATAGAAGGCTGAGCTTCATGCTGGAAATTGCAACTTATGAAAACATATGCCCCATGGAAGTAGGGCACTCAGAATTGCTTAAATATTTCAATTGCACAAACAATCCAAATGCTTGTAAACATTTTACAATTATAGACCAGTAGAGGGCTTGAAGAAGCACTTTCATCGATTCCAATGCTGAATTTGTGTCTCTAGCCCAAGGTCTGACTGTAAAGAGTGGTTCTATTGGTTGATGGATTCTCACTTCCCCTACTTCTGGGATTTGAGGACATCCTGTGGTGATTCCAACCCTCATCTCTCCCCCTTCTGGATTTCATGCCTAATTAACTGATATAAAAATGACTGCAGAGCCCACAAATTCTTAAACTGAGATAAAGCAAAGGTAAATGTGGCATAACTAAGACTCTTCCATCCACAGTCATTAAGAGTCTAAATATTTCCCTTGAAAAAAGGAGGTTAATACACGATTTTGGAGAGTAAAAAATCTATTCCTTCCTCCCTCTTTTTTTTTTTTTTTTTTAATGGGCTAGCAACTGTATTTAGAATGAAATCCAAAGTAATATACCTAGAGGTGCATTCCACAAGCACATTATGATATTCTTACCAACAGAAAGACAGCAGCATCGCTGTATAATCATTGCAGTTTCATATATTTGCTTCTGCCCAACAATAGCAACAGTTCCCTGATATCCAGCCAGCGACATGTATCAGTTGTTATTCCAGCGACAGTGGTTCTCGCAAGATTTAGACACTGTTTCTCAAGCTTCGCCTCAGCCCGCCTGAGGAATATATTCAACAAGAGCCGCTCTGGGGGTTCCCCTTGCTGGAGAAAAAGTGCCCCCCAATCCTTTCAGGACTCAGTCTTTTCACAGCAGCATAAATCAAGTGAGGGGCGAGGGAGAAAAATCCCCTGAATCCCTGCAATTTATTCAACAAGGAAATGATAGAGAAATATTCCACACGCAAAAGTCTTGTGAAGAAAATGAAGGAAAACCACAGCACAGGCCAATGTCTGAGGAAGACCACCCTTCGGAGGAGAAACCCCACGAGGCAGGAGGAAGCCCTCGGCCTCCCAAACACGGTGCAAGCCCGAAGCAGAAGGAAACCTGAGAAGCCGGCTGACTCAGCCTCTCCAGGGCCTGAGAGAGGACACTCCCATAAGGCATTTGGGCCCAGAGGAGATGCTAAGAGGAGTGTAGTTGGAAAGGCTCAGGGAAGAGAGAAGAAGGGCAAGAAACAAGTTTGTGACCACGCATCATAGGCAAAGACATGCACGCAGCTGTCCTCATCTGCGTCTGGCTGGGAATCTTTTATTTTGGGTCTGATGGTAAAATCTGGCCCCTGATTTCTTTCTGTTAGCATTTTCTTTACCTTCTTTTTACTTTTAATCATCTGGTGGAGTTTTGTTTTAGGTAGTTTCCTTGATAACAGCATCTTCCTGGATTTTGCATTTTGACCCATTCTCCAGGTCTATTTTTCAGTTGGGAAGTTTCACACATATGCATGAAAATATGTTCATTCCATATTATAAAGTAAAACATAACAAGTTACAAAGCAGCATATTTAGTATCAGCTCACACATATAGGATAAAATCCCAAATTGTGTGTGTGCATGTACGTGTGTTTATATACACACATACATCAAAAACTCAACTGTGCTTATTTCTGTGTGGTGTGGGTTTTCTTTTGCTTGTATGTATTTTTTCATGAACACATGTAACAGACAGAAATAAGGTCTTTTAATAAGAGTCCAAAAACTTGCAACCAATTTATAAGGGCAATGGGGCACCTAAACTCTTGATGAAATAACTTTTACAATGTAAACCTCTAATCACCTCTGGGTCTCTTAGTCAGGGGACTAAAACTGGCAATTATTAGAGATAAAAACAACAACAATGGAGTAGGCAGTGAAGATGAGGAACAAGTTTTGGTAGTTTGCAAAAAGCTGTGGTTATCCTAATGCAGCCAACTCACTACACATCCTCCCCACCCCCATTCTCAATCTTCATGGGGGCCCAGGGGTTTTGAGACTCACTGGCATAAAATAAATGAATAAATAAATAAATAAATAATACTTTATCTAAAAGGTATTAGGGTTTCCACCATTTATTGAGTACTTGCTATGTACTAAGTACTTTCTACGTTTCCTTTTATTCAACTCCTCACTGTGTCATGAGAAAGGAACTTGGCAAAAGAGGAAACAGAAGTTCATTCACTCAACAAATATTTATTAAGCACGTACTATATTCCAGGCACTTGTCTAGTTGTCTGTGATACAGCTGTGAACAAAATAAACGAAGTATCTGCTTTCAGAAGCTTACAAGCTAAGGGCTCAGAAAAGTTAACTCACCCAAAAAGAAGATGACATTTGAGACTATCCTGTGTTCCATGTTCTACTAACCCCACTTCCTGAGTTTCCTCATCATCACATCCTTTTCTGAACAATCTGGATTTCTTCAGACCCCAGCATCCAAGAGAGACGGTTGTTCACTTTAAGCAGATAGCATCCAGTAGGTCCTGGGCCCTGGGCACAGTTAGGAGCACAGCAGACAAGGACCCTGCCTTATGGAGCTTAATCAATCCAATAAATGCACACGAGTATCTAATGCAAACTGTGTTACTGCAATGAAGAAAACATAGTAACGTGCTATATGAAAGAATCAAGGAGGCCTACTTTAGATTGGGGAGGGGATCAGGGAAGGCCTCTTTGAGCAAGTGTCATTTATGCTGAGAGCTGAAGGATATATGTGTTAGGAGAGAAGCTATTCCAGATACATGGAAAAAATGAAGTCAAAATGAAGGCCCAAGGGCAGGAAAGAGATGTAAGAACATGAGATGCTGAGAGAAATTGGTTAACTGAAGGGAGAGAGGAGGCTGGGTCAAGTAGGTGAGGGGCAGATCATATAGGGCTTTGGAGGCACCAAGGACGTTGCCTATTCTCCTAAATGCAGAACCTTTAACAAGTTATTTACAGAGTGGGTTATAAGGAATCTAGAGTAGAAGGCTAAAGGACACATTGGGTGGTTATTGCAACAACCTAGGTAAAAGGATATAGTGGCTGGACTAAGGTGACTGTGATTGAGACAGAAAAGGAGCAAATAGGTTGTGGACATTCTTATTTAAGAGAGAGACTGAACAGGACATAGATAATGGAAAGGAAGGGTGAGTCCGGATGCCACCCAGGTTTCTCCTGGACCTCTGGGAGGGTGGGGGTGCCCTTCACTGGAGAAGAATGGACCAAGAACAGAGAAGGGTGAGACAGGGGGATCAGGAATTTTGTTTTGGACAGGTAAATCTGAGATGTTTATGCATCTACTTGGAAAATTAAGGAATTAGTTTGATAAACAAGACTAGAGCACAGGTCTGGGGTGGAGATGCATTCAGGAGTGCTCAGCACGTTTAAGACTGTTAGGATGATGAGATTTCCTGGAGAGAATGGAGATGAGACGGCCTATGGCTAAACTCTGGGAAATTCCAACACTTGCAAGACTTGGGAAGATAAAGAGAGAAAATGATCATTCCTGTGAGCACAGGGCCTGGCAGAAAGCAGGGAAACAATGCATTTTTATTACTAACCTAGAAACCAAACTGCA